TTGTTCAACTAGGTTTTCCTAACAACTGCGTATTAATAATTACGTTTCTTTCTTAGTTTTTTAAGCCATTGGATTTTTCATAGCAAGGTCAAATGTAATTTTGTGTAGTTGGTGAACCCAAGAGGAGCAGGGTGTATAAAGCATCTTCATTAATTTTAAAATATAAAGAACATAATTTTTATTCAAATCCAATAGACTCTTTAAATTTAATGAAGATACTCTTTTTTTTAAGAAGAGACTTAATGGAAGAGAGAATTATAAATAAAACGTATATGAACTTATAGTTTATTAATTAAAATGGATTGAGAGTGAAATTTGACTCTCTAAATGTGAGAGTCAACTCACTCTCTAATTTATTTTTAAGATAAATAGTAGGTTAGACTCTTTTTTTATGAATAAACTTTTATAAAAAAAGTTTGAGTCATATAAAGAATCATTTAAAAATACTCTAAGTGGCAGTTAAATAGCTTTCCACCTATCCCTTTATCTTTATGTTCTCATCTTGTTTATGAAGCATCAATTGCATCCTTTGCAAGTGTTAAGGAGAATGTACAGATTAGATAAAGCCTTTAAGTCGGTTGTATTGGCTATAAATACCAAAATTCGTGTATGATGTCAATGTTCTTTCATTAAGAAAAAGAACTCGTGGTAAGCCTCGTATTTTGGATCTTATAAACTATAATATTATTTTAGTCCCTCCAATATCTATTAGTCTCATTTCAATCATTTACTTACATCTCTAATATTATTTAACCATAATTATACAATAGATACAAATATGTTCAAATATATTGAGTAAAATAATAAATAAGTGAAAAAAATATCAAAGAAAATCTTTGGAAAAAAACTTTAATAGATGATAAAATTTTAAAAGTCAAATAAAGAGTTATAATGAAACTTATATAATTTGGGATTCTCTAAAATATACCAATTCAATAGATAATATGAAGTTAATAATTTGGGGTTGGAAAAACGTTTAGGACAAACTAACTAAAGATTTCCATGAAAGAATGAATAATACTTTGGGTACTAACGAATGGGTACTAATCTGTGTACTAACTAAGCAGGTACGGGTACTATACGTCATAGTACGCGACTATACTTTATTAGTACACAGATTAGTACCATCCGTTAGTACCCTGCATCACTCATAAAGAATTAATCACCGCTTCTAAGTATTTTGTCTTAAAAAAGTCCTTTCACGAGAGACTTTAAAACACCTTTTTGAATCATAATAAACTTAATAAAATATTTTAAGGTGAAACTATAAAAGTAAATATTGATTTTGTGATATTTGAGAAAAGAATAAAATAAATTCTAGGGACTCTAATAAAGTGCAACATTTGAAAATGATTTTAATGATATATGAAGCTTTAGTCGCGCTTCTAAGAAGAAAAGTCAAAATCGAAGCCTGTAGCAAAACGGTTGAGATTTTAGAAAACAAAAATGCAAAGAATAAAAATTTGAAATTTGAAGCTAAACTTTAAGGATTTTCATGAATTTAAAAGTTATAAATCACACGTATTATTTTGTAAAATTCAAGATGCAATTGACATAGGCTATAAGGTATTCACAGATCCAGCCGATCGTGCGTCATTACGATGACTTCCGACCACATTTTGACGATGGTGGCCGACTAGCGGCATTTAACGAGTGGGTGGAAATGTTTTGTTAATTTTCAATGTTTATTGTAAAGAGTTTTAACTAAATTACAAATCTAAAGGGTTTAAAAATAGTTAGATAGGATATGATTTAATTTGAGAATAAAACACAATATTTATTTGAGTAGACAAGAAACAAACGCAATCTTGGATTTTTAACTTTCAAATGATTGAGGGGTGTTTGTCTGAGCTTATGAAAATTACTTATAAGCACAATTGCTTATAAGCTAAAATTAACTTATAAGCATTTGAAATTTTAAGCAATTACTTATTTGATTAAAGTACTATAATTGACTGAAAGTAATTGACGTGTTTGGTAAAACGTTGGCTTATAAGTACATTTTATTATAAATTACTAAAAAATGTACTACATTAAACAAGGGCATACTATGAAATTTTAAATTAAACAGGATATGTGATATATATTGATCAAACTAGCTTATAAGCAAAGTGCTTATAAGCAAAAAAAAGTATTTTTCCCCAACTTATTTTTTTTTGGCTTATAAGCTCAACGTATAAGCTCAAAAAAATTATAAACAAACAGGTCAGCTTAATTTAGAGTTTATAAGCAAGTTTGACCAGCTTATAAGCTTACACAAATACCCCTTGAATCCACTTATAATGCCAAGATAAGTAGGAAATATATGTTTGACTAAAATAATTTTCGGAGAATGTTTTGGAAAATTTTATTTAACATTTTATGAAGAAAACTTTGACACTTACTGAAATCAAAATAGCCATTAGGTACCCCGCAATAGCAAGTGGTTCTAAACTTCTAACTCAGGGCAATATTATGGTTCCAATAATTCTCATTAGACAATCGAAGACCCCCACACCATAACCAGCCCACAAACTTACCGGTTGACTGAGTTAGGGTCACTATTATCTAAACAAGACTTTTAAGAAGAGTAATGTTATTTAAGCCCCACTAAATTGGTTTGTAAACTCCGATAATAATTAAATCACTTTAAAGAATTTATAAATATCATTTTATTCCATAACTGTCCATCTTAATATTTTTCTTTTCAAATTTCTTTTTTAACCCTACCATCCCTATTTGTTCTGAAAACTTAAACTTTAATAGTTATTTTGTTTTCAATAAGGGCATATATACTTACAATCTGTCTCATAAATTTTTCTCTCACTATCCCAACGTGATAGTTGGTAATTGGTCAACTCGCAATGGGTCTTGCTGTCCATTACGAACTGTTATTTCTGGATTATAGAGAAAATTTATAAGATTAGGATGTAAACCAATCTTTATTGTTTCAATAATTAGATGATCTATTTCTTGTACAATTTTTTATATTCATTATTTTTATCAAATCACTTTAAACTTCCATGGAATGTTATCATTAACAAACCAATTAATGAGAATATTCGTTATTATTTTATTCCATAGTTTAAATCCATCTTCTCTCCAAAATACTTTAATCATGACTACATAATTTTCAAACAAAGAATTCAAATTACAGTTTCTGAAAAAAAAAAAAAGGGTATAGGGTATTGAAAAAAATAGTTCTTTAATAAATAGGTTTGTACTAAAAGAATAACTACTCTTCTAACCCTAAGGGGTTGGCCTGACAATCTAGAATATTTGCTTAGTTTATTACTTTTATGTTTGAATTATCTTGGAGTCCCTACTATATTGTTGTTTATGAGCTTCGAGGATTAGTCAAGGTATGCATAAACTGACCCAGATACCCCAATTATAAAAAAGAATAATAAATAACTATTCTTCTTTGGTAATTACTAGTTTTAAAAAACATATTTGTAATAACATTATTTAGGGCTTGCTTAAAAGAAACTTGATGGCTTAATAAGATCACTCTTAGAAAAACAAACGTCCAAATTGGGCCTAATAGGCCTTAATGAAATGTAGAATGACTTGAACTTGAAGCTTTATGATCTAATTCTTTATTGAGTTTGCATAGGGTTTTTATTGGACATTCTTGACAAAATGAGCGCAAGACCTATAGAATACGCCTCCTATTCATATAAAGGAATTTAATATTAATATTGTTTTTTTCTTTTAATCTACTCTATGAATTTCTCTCGTAATTTTCCCCATTACTTTCTTCCATTCTTAACATTTTTCTCTCATCCATTTCTCTTTTCCTCTTTCCATTGTACATTAAAATATCATATCACTTTCACAATATTTTCAATAGAGCTAAATTTTATTCGTCATTCTATATTTCTTTATCAAATATATCTTAGAAAATAATCATTATACCCTTTTTTATTTTTTTTATTTTTATTTGTTTAATATGAGCTTGTAATTAATTTTTAACTAAAACTTATGAATCTAAATATGAGAGAAATTATTCCAAAATAAGATTTCTTGATAAAATTGTTATAAATAATAAAGATAATGTATACTTAAGTAAAATACTAATATTAAATGAATCAATAGGTATGGATCTACTAAATACTAATGTTAACAGAAACAAGAGATAGTGAATGATTGAAAAAAAAAAAAAAAATTAATGTAGAACATAATAAATATTAGTATGAATTACAAAGAATATTATTCAAACTCTGATATTATAAAAAATTAATAATTTTTATTTTGAATATGACAAGTTAATTTCAAAATTTTCGGAGTTAAAATATGATAGATTACTTTATTACTATCTCAATAATTGTGTGAAATTAAGTGTTACAAGTTCCTCTAAATCTATAGTTGATGATTAAGTGTTTTAATTGAAAAAAAATAAAAATAAATAATAAACAGTTAAATGGATGTTCTAATAATTTTAATCCCTTTTAAGGCCTGACATGATATAATAACAAAAATCTTGCTGAGATATGATACAATAACAAAATCCTTTTGATGTTTTTGGAATCTTTCTGTCATCACTATTATGAGTTAGTAAATGTTACTCTAAATTCTGTTATTTAAAAAAACTCAGGAGATTTTATTTAGTACATCATACCTTAAGCAATTAATTCATTAACTCTAATTAAATTGATATTATAGTTAATTAGCTCAGCTTATAACTTCCAAGTAAATCTAAATGAAACGGGCCAGGAGACAGGTTGAAACTGCCAGATTAACAACTTCTAATACAACAATAAAAACACGAGATCGGCGATCTATCTGTACAAATACAAGAAATAAATACTACAATCCAGATCCATTGTCATTTTCTGTTAACTTCTTCTATGAATCTAATTAAATTTCCATTGACTGATTGGATCAAATCATATTAATTCAATCATTAATTTCTGAAATACATCATTCAAACTCCTTATAATTTTAATTAAGAATGTGGTTATTAACTAAGAACGTGAACTAATGTCCAAAGGGGCCCCACCTAATTTTCGCGCAAAAAATCCCTTTTACCTGACCATTTCTGTTAAGATTTCCCGGGAAAAAGTAAAAAAGAAAATGGAAAATTAGGAAATAACTGCTGCAACTCTCAATTATTTAACCAAACCCTCCAACTCGATCTAGGGTTCCTCTGAATAATCATCCTCTATGGACGATCCCACGATGGCTCCACAGCTCACGAATCACCATCTCAATCTCAATGTACCACCAACAATGTCCCTCCAATCACTCACTCCGCCGTCGCATCACATCAGCCGCATGATCAACTCCAGTCACCAACAGTCGCCGTCGCGAACGATTTACTCCGATAGGTTTATTCCCAGCAGATCTACCTCTAATTTCGACCTCTTCAACATCTCTCAGCCGTCTCCCAACTCTCCGGCGCCTGTGGATACCCACAAGGATGATAATTCCGGGACCTACACGGCCCTTCTTCGGGCCGCCCTCTTTGGGCCGGACACGCCTGATAAAAAAGACCTGTCTGGGCCGCCTCTGGGTCGGAACATTTTTAGGTTTAAATCGGAGACAAGGCGGTCTATGCACTCGCTATCACCTTTTGGGTTCGACGATGACGTGGCATCCGGGGTCAGTCAGAGCCCCGTGAAGGCCCCGAGGAAGGTCCCAAGGTCGCCTTACAAAGTGGGTTTCTTTTCCGATTTTAGAAAAAAATTTCTGGGTTTTTTGTTTTGATTATTTTTTAAATTTATTTGTGTTTGTGTATTGGTTAGATTTTGGATGCACCAGCTTTGCAAGATGATTTTTATTTGAACTTAGTGGACTGGTCGTCGCATAATGTATTGGCTGTGGGGTTGGGAAATTGTGTGTATTTGTGGAATGCTTGTAGCAGCAAGGTGAATTTTTTTTTTTTCCTTTTAAAATAATGAGGGTTAGTTTAATTATTATTTGTTTTCTGATTGTAAATGGGGATGGTAATTGTTGTAGGTGACAAAGTTATGTGATTTGGGGATGGATGATAGTGTGTGTTCAGTGGGGTGGGCGCAGCGTGGTACACATCTTGCTGTTGGAACTAGCCATGGGAAACTTCAGGTTAGAGATGAATGTTTTGTTAACTTTGTAGCAAAAACGTTGGATTTTAGAAAACAAAATGCAAAGAATAAAAATTTGAAATTTGAAGCTAAAGCTTTAAGATTTTCATGAATTAAAAGTTATAAATCACACGTATTATTTTTGTAAAATTCAAGATGCAATTGACATAGCTATAAGGTATTCACAGATCCAGCCGATCGTGCGTCATTACGATGACTTCCGACCACATTTTGACGATGGTGGCCGACTAGCGGCATTTACGAGTGGGTGGAAATGTTGTTGTTAATTTTCAATGTTTTATTGTAAAGTTTTAACTAAATTACAAATCTAAAGGGTTTAAAAATAGTTAGATAGGATATGATTTAATTTGAGAATAAAAACAAATATTATTTTGAGTAGAACAAGAAACAAACGCAATCTTGGATTTTTAACTTTCAATGATTGAGGGGTGTTTGTCTGAGCTTATGAAATTAACTTATAAGCACACATTGCTTATAAGCTAAATTAACTTATAAGCATTTGAAATTTTAAGCAATTACTTATTTGATTAAAGTCTCTATAATTGACTGAAAGTAATTGACAGTGTTTGGTAAAACGTGGCTTATAAGTACATTTTATTATAAATTACTAAAAATGTACTACATTAAACAAGGGCATACTATGAAATTTTAAATTAAACAGGATAATGTGATATATATTTGATCAAACTAGCTTATAAGCAAGTGCTTATAAGCAAAAAAAAGTATTTTTCCCCAACTTATTTTTTTTTGGCTTATAGCTCAACGTATAAGCTCAAAAAATTATAAACAAACAGGTCAGCTTAATTTAGAGTTTATAAGCAAGTTTGACCAGCTTATAAGCTTACACAAATACCCCTTGAATCCATACTTATAATGCCAAGATAAGTAGGAAATAATATGTTTTGACTAAAATAATTTTCGGAGAATGTTTTGGAAAATTTTATTTAACATTTTTATGAAGAAAACTTTGACACTTACTGAAATCAAAATAGCCATTAGGTACGCAAGTAGCAAGTGGTTCTAAACTTCTAACTCAGGGCAATATTATGGTTCCAATAATTCTCATTAGACAATCGAAGACCCCCCACACCATAACCAGCCCACAAACTTACCGGTTGACTGATTAGTCACTATTATCTAAACAAGACTTTTAGAAGAGTAATGTTATTTAAGCCCCACTAAATTGGTTTGTAACTCCGATAAAATTAAATCACTTTAAAGAATTTATAATATCATTTTATTCCATAACTGTCCCATCTTTAATATTTTTCTTTTCAAATTTCTTTTTTAACCCTACCATCCCTATTTGTTCTGAAACTTAAACTTTAATAGTTATTTTTGTTTCAATAAGGGCATATATACTTCAATCTAGTCTCATAAATTTTTCTCTCACTATCCCAACGTGATGTTGGTAATTGGTCAACTCGCAATGGGTCTTGCTGTCCACATTACGAACTGTTATTCTGGATTTAGAGAAAATTTATAAGATTAGGATGTAAACCAATCTTTATTGTTTCAATAATTAGATGATCTATTTCTTGTCAATTTTTTATATTCATTATTTTTATCAAATCACTTTAAACTTCATGGAATTTATCATTAACAAACCAATTATGAGAATATTCGTTATTATTTTTTCCAAGTTTAAATCCATCTTCTCTCCAAAATACTTTAATCATGACTACATAATTTTCAAACAAAGAATTCAAATTACAGTTCTGAAAAAAAAAAAAAGGGTATAGGGTATTGAAAAAAATAGTTCTTTAATAAATGGTTTGTACTAAAAGATACTACTCTTCTAACTCCTAAGGGGTTGGCCTGACAATCTAGAATATTTGCTTAGTTTATTGACTTTTATGTTTGAATTATCTTGGAGTCACTACTATATTGTTGTTTATGAGCTTCGAGGATTAGTCAAGGTATGCATAAACTGACCCAGATCCCCAATTATAAAAAAAATAATAAATAACTATTCTTCTTTGGTAATTACTAGTTTTAAAAAACATATTTGTAATAACATTATTTAGGGCTTGCTTAAAAGAAACTTGATGGCTTAAATAAGATCACTCTAGAAAAACAAACGTCCAAATTGGGCCTAATAGGCCTTAATGAAATGTAGAATGACTTGAACTTGAAGCTTTATGATCTAATTCTTTATTGTTTGCATAGGGTTTTATTGGACATTCTTGACAAAATGAGCGATAGACTCTTTAAATTTAATGAAGATACTCTTTATTTTTAAGAAAGAGACTTAATGGAAGAGAGAATTAATAAATAAAACGTATATGAACTTATAGTTTATTAATTAAAATTAGGATTGAGAGTGAAATTTGACTCTCTAAATGTGGAGAGTCAAACTCACTCTCTAATTTATATTTTAAAGATAAATAGTATGTTAGACTCTTATTTTTATGAATAAACTCTTTATAATAAAAAGTTTGAGTCATATAAAGAATCATTTAAAAATACTCTAAGTGGCAGTTAAATAGCTTTCCACCTATCCCTTTATCTTTATGTTCTCATCTTGTTTATGAAGCATCAATTGCATCCTTTGCAAGTGTTAAGGAGAATGTACAGAAATTAGATAAAGCCTTTAAGTCGGTTGTATTGGCTATAAATACCGAAAATTATTTGTATGATGTCAATGTTTTCATTAAGAAAAAGAACCTCTGGTAGAGCCTCGTACTTTGTATCTTAAACTAAACTATAATATCAGTTTAGTCCCTCCAATATCTATCAGTCTTAATTTCAATCATTTTACTTACATCTCTAATATTATTTAACCCATAATTATACAATAGATACAAATATGTTCAAATATATTGAGTAAAATAAATAAATAAGTGAAAAAAAATCAAAGAAAATCTTTGGAAAAAACATTTATAATAGATGATAAAATTTTTAAAGTCAAATAAAAGAGTTATAATGAAACTTATATGAATTTTGGGATTCTCTAAAATATACCAACTCAATATAATATTAAATTTTGGGATTCTCTAAAATATACCAATTCAATAGATAATATGAAAGGTTAAATAATTTGGGGTTGGACAAAAACGTTTAGGACAAACTAACTAAAGATTTTCCATGAATAAAGAATGAATAATACTTTGGGTACTAACGAATGGGTACTAATCTGTGTACTAACTAAAGCATAGTACGGGTACTATACGCATAGTACGCGTACTATACTTTAGTTAGTACACAGATTAGTACCCATCCGTTAGTACCCATAGCATCACTCATAAAGAATTAATCAACGCTTCTAAGTATTTTGTCTTAAAAATAAGTCCTTTCACGAGAGACTTTAAAACACCTTTTTGAATCATAATAAACTTAATAAAATATTTTAAGGTGAAAACAATATAAAAGTAAATATTGAATTTTGTGATATTTGAGAAAAGAATAAAAATAAATTCTAGGGACTCTAATAAAAGTGCAACATTTGAAAATGATTTTTAATGATATATGAAGCTTTAGTCGCGCTTCTAAGAAGAAAAGTTCAAAAATCGAAGCCTTGTAGCAAAACGGTGAGATTTTAGAAAACAAAAATTGCAAAGAATAAAAAATTTGAAATTTGAAGCTAAAGCTTTAAAGGATTTTCAATGAATTTAAAAGTTATAAAATCACAGTATTATTTTTGTAAAATTCAAAGATGCAAATGATAGGCTATAAGGTATTCACAGATCCAGCCGATCGTGCGTCATTACGATGACTTCGACCACATTTTGACGATGGTGGCCGACTATCGGCATTTAACGAGTGGGTGGAAATGTTGTTGTTAATTTTCAATGTTTTATTGTAAAGAGTTTTAACTAAATTAACAAATCTAAAGGGTTAAAAATAGTTAGATAGGATATGATTAATTTTGAGATAAGAAACAATATGTATTTTGAGTAGAACAGAGAAAACAAACGCAATCTTGGATTTTTAACTTTCAAATGATTGAGGGGGTGTTTGTCTGAGCTTATGAAAATAACTTATAAGAACAATGGTTATAAGCTAAAATTAACTTATAAGCATTTGAAATTTTAAGCAATTACGTATTGATTAAAGTACTTATAATTGACTGATAAGTAATTGACGTGTTTGGTAAAACGGGGCTATAAGTACTTTATTATAAAATTACTAAAAAATGTACTACATTAAACAAGGGCATACTATGAAATTTTAAATTAAACAAGGATAATGTGAAATATATTTGATCAAACTAGCTTATAAGCAAAGTGCTTATAAGCAAAAAAAAAAGTATTTTTCCCAACTATTTTTTTTGGCTTATAAGCTCAACGTATAAGCTCAAAAAAAATTATAAACAAACAGGTCAGCTTAATTTTAGTTTATAAGCAAGTTTGACCAGCTTATAAGCTTACAAATACCCCTTGAATCCTACTTATAATGCCAAGATAAGTAGGAAATAATATGTTTTGACTAAAATAATTTTCGGAGAATGTTTTGGAAAATTATTTAACATTTTTATGAAGAAAACTTTGACACTTACTGAAATCAAAATAGCCAATTAGGTACCGCAAATAGCAAGTGGTTCTAAACTTCTAACTCAGGGCAATATTATGGTTCCAATAATTCTCATTAGACAATCGAAGACCCACCACACCATAACCAGCCCACCAACATATCCGGTTGACTGGTTAGGTCAACTATTATCTAAACAAGAACTTTTAAGAAAGAGTAATGTATTTAAGCCCCACTAAATTGGTTGTAAACTCCGATAATAATTAATCACTTTAAAAGAATTATAAATATCATTTTATTCCATAACTGTCCATCTTTAATATTTTCTTTTCAAATTTCTTTTTTAACCCTACCATCCCTATTTGTTCTGAAAACTTAAACTTTATAGTTATTTTGTTTTCAATAAGGGCAATACTATACTTACAATCTAGTCTCAAAATTTTTTACTATCCCAACGTGATAGTTGGTAATTGGTCAAATCGCAATGGGTCTGTTGTCCAATTACGAACTGTTATTTGGATATGAGAGAAATTATAAGATTAGGATGTAAAACAATTTTATTGTTTCAATAATTAGATGATCTATTCTTGTACAATTTTTATATTCATTATTTTATTCAAATCCCTTTAACTTCCATGAGAATGTTATCATTAAGCAAAACCAATAATGAGATATTCAGTTATTATTTATTTCCATAGTTTAAATCCATCTTCTCTCCAAAAATCTTACATGATACATAATTTTCAAACAAAGAACAAATTACAGTTTCTGAAAAAAAAAAAGGGTATAGGGTATTGAAAAAAATAGTTCTTTAATAAATAGGTTGTACTAAAAGAATAACTACTTCTAACCCTAAGGGGTTGGCCTGAAATCTAGAATATTGTAGTTTATTGACTTTTATGTTGATTATCTTGGAGTCAACTACTATATTTGTTGTTTATGAGCTTCGAGGATAGTCAAGGTATGCATAAACTGACCCAGATACCAATATATAAAAAGAATAAATAAATAAAATTCTTCTTGGTAATTACTAGTTTAAAAAACATATTGTTAAAACATAATATAGGGCTTGCTTAGAAAGAAACTTGATGGGCTTAAATAAGATCACTCTTTAAGAAAACACACGTCCAATTGGGCCTAATAGGCCTTAATGAAATGTAGAATGACTTGAACTTGAAGCTTTATTGATCTAATTCTTTATTGAGTTTGCATAGGGTTTATTGGACATTCTTGACAAAAGTGAGCATCAAGACCTATAAATATGCCTCCCATTCATAAAGGAATTTAATATTACTATTGTTTTTTTCTTTTAATTACTTATGAATTTCTCTCGTATTTCTCCCATTACTTTCTTCCATTCTTAACATTTTCTCTCATCCATTTCTCTTTTCCTCTTTCCATTGTACATTAAAATATCATATCACTTTCACATATTTCAATAGAGCTAAATTTATTCGTTCATTAATTCTTTATCAAATATATCTTAGAAAATATCATTATACCCTTTTTTATTTTTTTATTTTATTGTTTAATATGAGTTGTAATTAATTTTAACTAAAACTTATGAATACTAAATATGAGAGAATTATTCCAAATAAGATTTCTAAAAATGATAAATATAAAGATAATGTATACTTAAGTAAAATACTATATTAAATGAATCAATAGGTATGGATCTACTAAATACTAATGTTAACAGAAACAAGAGATAGTGAAGATTGAAAAAAAAAAAAAAAATTAATGTAGAACTAATAAATATTAGTATGAATTACAAAGAATATATTCAAACTCTGATATTATAAAAATTAATAATTTTTATTTTGAATAGACAAGTTAATTTCAAAATTTTCGGAGTTAAAATATGATAGATTACTATTACTATCTCAATAATTGTGTGAAATTAAGTGTTACAAGTTCCTCTAAATCTATAGTTGATGATTAAGGTTTTAATTGAAAAAAAATAAAAATAAATAATAAACAGTTAAATGGATGTTCTAATAATTTAATCCCTTTTAAGGCCTGACATGATATAATAAACAAAATCTGCTGAGATATGATACAATAACAAAATCCTTTGATGTTTTTGAATCTTTCTGTCATCACATTATGAGTTAGTAAATGTTACTAAATTGTCTTTCTAAATTCGTATTTAAAAAAACTCAGGAGATTTTATTTAGTACATCATACCTTAAGCAATTAATTCATTAACTCTAATTAAATTGATATTATAGTTAATTAGCTCAGTTATAACTTCCAAGTAAATCTAAATGAAACGGGCCGGAGACAGGTTGAAACTGCCAGATTAACAACTTCTAATACAACAATAAAAACACGAGATCGGCGATCTATCTGTACAAATACAAGAATAAATACTACAATCCAGATCCATTGTCATTTTCTGTTAATTCTTCTATGAATCTAATTAAATTTCCATTGACTGATTGGATCAAATCATATTAATTCAATTATTAATTTCTGAAATACATCATTCAAAAATCCTATAATTTTAATTAAGAATGTGGTTATTAACTAAGAACGTGAACTGTCCAAAGGGGCCCCACCTAATTTTCGCGCAAGAAATCCCTTTTACCTGACCATTTCCGTTAAGATTTTCCGGGAAAAACTAAAAAAAAGAAAATGGAAAATTAGGAAATAACTGCTGCAACTCTCAATTATTTAACCAAACCCTCCAACTCGATCTAGGGTTCCTCTGAATAATCATCCTCTATGGACGATCCCACGATGGCTCCACAGCTCACGAATCACCATCTCAATCTCAATGTACCACCAACAATGTCCCTCCAATCACTCACTCCGCCGTCGCATCACATCAGCCGCATGATCAACTCCAGTCACCAACAGTCGCCGTCGCGAACGATTTACTCCGATAGGTTTATTCCCAGCAGATCTACCTCTAATTTCGACCTCTTCAACATCTCTCAGCCGTCTCCCAACTCTCCGGCGCCTGTGGATACCCACAAGGATGATAATTCCGGGACCTACACGGCCCTTCTTCGGGCCGCCCTCTTTGGGCCGGACACGCCTGATAAAAAAGACCTGTCTGGGCCGCCTCTGGGTCGGAACATTTTTAGGTTTAAATCGGAGACAAGGCGGTCTATGCACTCGCTATCACCTTTTGGGTTCGACGATGACGTGGCATCCGGGGTCAGTCAGAGCCCCGTGAAGGCCCCGAGGAAGGTCCCAAGGTCGCCTTACAAAGTGGGTTTCTTTTCCGATTTTAGAAAAAAATTTCTGGGTTTTTTGTTTTGATTATTTTTTAAATTTATTTGTGTTTGTGTATTGGTTAGATTTTGGATGCACCAGCTTTGCAAGATGATTTTTATTTGAACTTAGTGGACTGGTCGTCGCATAATGTATTGGCTGTGGGGTTGGGAAATTGTGTGTATTTGTGGAATGCTTGTAGCAGCAAGGTGAATTTTTTTTTTTCCTTTAAAATAATGTGGGTTAGTTTAATTATTATTTGTTTTTTGATTGTAAATGGGGATGGTAATTGTTGTAGGTGACAAAGTTATGTGATTTGGGGATGGATGATAGTGTGTGTTCAGTGGGGTGGGCGCAGCGTGGTACACATCTTGCTGTTGGAACTAGCCATGGGAAACTTCAGGTTAGAGATGAATGTTTTGTTAAGTTTTTTTGTACAGTACTGAAGTGGACATTTTAATGTAAATTTATGTGCTTCCATATGTGCTTCTGTATGAGTTTTAATGTTTCCTTTTCTTGTTAATGCCTGGGTAAAAGAAACTTCGAAACTAAGACGGAGCTTGTATTTTTCAACCAGAGTAATGCTTGAAAGTACTGAGGAACGAGAGTGATATATAGTATAAAATAGCTTGAATAAATACTGAAAGGCTTGGTAAAAGTTGAACTTGTCAAAGGTGGTGGAAAAAAGAGGTTTTAGGGGCTCCCTGGTTATGCTTTAAACTTAAATTTGGTATGTCTGTACTTCTGTTTTTTCCAAGGAAAGATTTGCTCTAGAACTGAAAGGTGACAATTTTTAATTGAACTGTTAATACTTTCGGTTTTGATTGTATTCTTTAATTATTTATCTTTTCGGGAGTTGTGGGGTGGGAGATAGATAACATAGAAGTCATTACTTGGATATATTTTAGATAGACTGATCCTCTTTAGGTGCTTTGTTTGATCTTAGATATGGGATGCATCTCGTTGTAAGAGGGTGAGAACAATGGAGGGACATCGATTACGTGTTGGGGCCTTAGCATGGAGTTCATGTCTGTTGTCTTCTGGTAGCCGGGATAAGAGTATTCTGCAACGAGATATACGAGCTCCGGAGGATTTTGTCAGTAAACTATCTGGACACAAGTCAGAGGTTAGACTTCGATACACCTTTTTGTTTAGCTTTATTGAACTTTATGGTCAATTGCACAACTTGAAATTTTGAACTTCATGCCTTGGATCTTGCTTTCCTCTCTTATCTTAATAATTTGTTCTACTGATGGTCATTTGTTGTTAACCATATATGCTTCTACTGTTTGCATGTTCATTTGAACTTGTATCTTTTTGATCTAGGTGTGTGGGCTGAAGTGGTCTTCTGATAATCGTGAGCTAGCATCAGGTGGCAATGATAATAGAGTATGTGATCTCATTTCCTTTTTAATCTCTGACTTACTGTGATACATATTTTGCAGTAATTTCTTTCATTTTTGTAATGTAAGCTTGCTAATATTTCTCATCCATGTGCCAGCTTTTTGTTTGGAATCAACATTCAACTCAGCCAGTGTTGAAATACTGTGAGCATACAGCAGCTGTAAAAGCAATTGCATGGTCTCCCCATCTTCATGGACTTCTTGCGTCTGGGGGTGGTACAGCTGACCGCTGTATTCGTTTCTGGAATACAACCACTAATACACATCTGAGCTGCATGGACACTGGCAGTCAGGTATTCTAACTGCTTTTTGTTTGACTATCATGAGCTGCATGGACGCTGACCGCTGTTTAGTTTTCTACCTGAAGTTCTAAATGATGATCTCTCCGCTTCATCCCTCATTGTATATAATGATAAATATATCACTTTTTTGTGTCAATTGGAACATCCTTGGTGGTTGTGAATAATGCTGTATAATGAAAGGAGCTACTAATAGTTAGCACTGAACATGGTCGAATGGAAAGCATACAAGAACCCATGTTTAGTGTAATATTTGAAGTGGGGTGCAGGACGAGTCACTGGTTTAATCCTGCTACAGTATTTGAGGATTGTTTGTCAAGAATTAAGAGAAAAAAAGGGCTAACTTGTTTACTTCCCTGAACTGAACATAGAAATACTGGACAATTTATGGGTTTTTCACTTCTTAGGATGATGAGACGTTATGTAATTGTCTTCTATCCATAGATATGGCTCTACCATATTACTCATGGGACTCTCCATCTTTCTGTCCTTAATGTGCAAATGCAGATTATGCATGCTAGGATGTACTAATTTCTGGTTTATGCATGGCAGGTATGCAATCTTGTGTGGTCTAACAATGTCAATGAGCTTGTCAGCACTCATGGATACTCCCAGAACCAGATAATTGTTTGGAGATACCCAACCATGTCAAAGGTACTGTAGTTGAAATTTGTATATTATAAATATACTACTATTATCTCTTTGTTACTCAAATTTGCTTCTGCTAATGCAGTTAGCAACTCTCACGGGCCATACATACAGAGTTCTTTATCTTGCCATTTCACCTGATGGACAGGTAGTTCATTCTCCATCCTTACTAATTCTCCTTTTCCTTTGCTTATAGAAAACTAGGCAATCTGGCCCATGCAGTAGGTTGAAGGTTTAAAATATGTTGCAAGTAATGTTAGATAGTTTAGGAAGAAACTACTGCAAGGATGAAGTACTCTGGAGAGTTGTCTTTAATTTAGTTTTCTATTAAAAGTACATACAGGGTTAATTAGACCATTTTAATATCAGAAAAAAGAGATTAGTCCAATTAAAAACTCAGTGGAAGTCAACTTTGATATGCACCTCTACACAACTCATGATTAGACTTCGTATATTAGTATAAATCAGTAACTGTACTGATCAGCTTCTGTGCATGTTCTTGTTTTGATTATTGTATTTTATTGTCTCAGACAATAGTCACAGGAGCCGGAGATGAAACACTCAGATTTTGGAATGTATTCCCATCCCCTAAATCTCAGGTAATTATTTTCAGAAGACTCAGATTGGAAAGTCGGAAGTTTTTTATTATTTTTATTTTTTATACCTCCATTGGTAATACAGTAGCATTGAAGCCTTTTCTTCATCCATGAGAACTTAGTCTGATTGATATCTTCTTGGAAACTGATTCTTCATTCTTGGAAAGTTTCCATCAAATATTTATGATTTAAAAAGTCCTGTCAACATCTATAGGCCAGCTCACCAATGATGTCATTAGAAAAAGGCAAGGGTAGCTTTGTAGCATGTGATAGTTCTATTATCAAGGAACATTGATTGATATAGCCAATCTGGACATGTGTTTGCAAGATTTTCAACATTTATGATTTCTGTACATTTTTGGTTGAACCATCATATGAGAGTAGATCACTTATGTATAACGTTGGATATCAATGCAGAATACTGATAGTGAGATTGGAGCATCATCCTTTGGAAGGACTACAATTCGGTGACCTCTGCTAACGCTGGGCTTAGCATTCTTCCAACTCTTCTATAATCTTCAGCTATTTATCCCACGAGGTCAAAGACTTTATGCAAAAAAGTCCTGAAGGAGGTTCTGCTTGAACCAAACCCTTGAACAGTAAATACTTTCAGGGAACTAAAGATGTGAATAGAAACGGTGAAATATGTCCGGCTGCTTTCAAGATGATGGTTTTGATTTTCTTTTTACCCATTTAAATGATTTATTTATTGGTGTACAGAGGGAACGTTAACAATTATTCTTGACGCCTCCCTTGCATTGTATATTTTGAGAGCGAAGCGAATCCTGGTCATGGTCTCCAATTTGGTGTAACAGTTTGAATTTTTTGTAAATAAACTACTATACTTATACGGACTGTGACGCTATATCCTATATTTCTTACATCTATTTACTTAGCTATTCAAGCTACTATGTCAGCCAATTGTTACTTCACTCTTTCTATAACAATCCTCATTGCACACAGATACAGGAATCAGATTGTATTTCTGCCAAGAATTTGTCATACAAATAGAGCTGTGCTGCTTTTGTACATTTTCTACAGTTACCATATGTAGATGTGTTCCAGGTGACCTTGAGAGCCAGTCACATGGATAAATTTGGTAAAGCAATACAACCTACCACGTTTTAGTTTTGGTAGTTCTTGAGACTTTTGAATTGTCTGTACATTTTTACATTATAAATATAGACAAAACACTGAGATGACAATGACCTAAACAATCAGATTTGTTGTTGGATACTTTCTTGGGTCCCATGATTTTCATTTTCATGGGGAAGCTTTTGTGACCATGGGATCGAGCTCATTGGTGGAAAGCAACAGTTGCAAGTCTCTCGGCATGGTTCTAGTAATTCCCAGTTGCTTATTAAACTTTCCTGGTTAGTCCCATTGTCCACACTAGATCGTTCAACAGCTTCCTTGAGTGGCCCCCAGCATTCGACTCTATTGAATTCAGGAATGTTTGAATGAAAATACACCCAAACCAGAGCCTCCTGCAACTCCGGATAATTATTCAACAAATTACCATCTCCATGAACAAAAGCCTTCAGTACCTATTCATGTCATCAATTACCCCTGTCAAGATATGATTTAACATAACTAAGAAAAAATAATCAATATTCAATATATATAAATATATTTACCACTGGGAGTTCTTTGCAGAAGATTAAGAATCTAAGTCGAGCACACAAGTCTAATAAAAAATGTCCTCCACTTATGTGACAGTGAACATGTAGAGACATCTTCCCCTTTACTTTCTTCCACTCTGCCACAACTTCATCTCTTTGCAACCTGTTATACCAACCCTGCAGCTGCAACCAGATCCCAAATACTCTTTCTCCTTTAGTTTATTATCATAATTCTTAAAATAATTCAAAGATCTAAAACTCCCTTTTTATCTTATACTTTCTCCCTTTTAACATGAATCATATAATAGACTACCTCAGCTCTCTCGTTCAAGTATTAATTTATTTTCTCTTTCTTCCACAAATAAATATTATATTACTATAACTCTAGAAGATCCCCTGTTTCCTCTCTTTGCTTTTCAACATAAGCAAATCAAAAGCAATTAAAATTGATAGTATTTGAATTCAACAACAAAGGCTATTAAGAAACATAAATAAAAATCTTTTTTTCCAGATCAGAAAATTACCTGAGAATTGTTTATGGTTTGTGAGATGGCCAAAGTAAGCTTAGATGTTATGTCACTGTGAGTAAGGGTATAAGTTCTTGGCAACTTCCCTGGATGCTTCTTTTCATCCACACCCAGAAACAAAACCCTCAACTTTGAAGCCTCAAAAATAGCTGGTCCAAATAATCTTGCCACCTAAACACAACCAAACCCACAAATCAATACAAATAAAATAACATAAACTCAAACCAAAACCCTTATTTCTTTTTCTGCTCCAAACCCCTTAACAGATCTTATTAAAAAGTTATAGAAAAAGGAAAGAAAAATTACAGGAGCTATAGATTTGTTTCTTTTCTTGGATGATGTTCTAGAAACAAAGAGAGAAGGTTTAAGCTTTGATGGAAGCTCCAGAGCAGCAACCAAACTAGCCATCTCTCCTGTTCACTGAAGAAAACTCTTCTCCAAGCTCCAACTTTGCAGGAGTAATTAAATGTAGAAATTTTTAATATAATACAACAAAGAAACCAAACCAAACAAAGGTAGAAAAGAAGAGAGAATCTTGGAGGACTTAAAAACTTTGAAACATAAGGTAAGGGTATCTTTTTCTTTTTTCTTTTACTTTAAAATTTGATTTTCTTTGCTTGTATGTTTAGGTTTAGAGACTTGAAAGATTGGTAATGTTTTAGATAGAGTGAGAAGATGAAGTCAATTGAGAAGAGATGCGTGTCGGTTCGGCGTGGAAGCTTTTGCCTAAGATTGCGGTTGCTTCAACTTTGAAACTTCTACTTACTAACATTGACACTTTGCAACGTTTTGAATTGAACAAGTGTTAAGTTACGTCACATGAAGCAGGTGTCGTGTGTCAAAATATCACTCACTGCAGCAGGCGCCATTACTCTTTTCTCATATGAAATACATTTAATAATTTAGATGTTTTTCTTAATAACAATAGAGATAGAATTTTAGCACGTGTTATTTTGTTCGTATGTGTCTGTGTTTGTTAACTGAAAGTCGGGTTGTGGTTAACATATTCCAACCACCTCAATTTATTATCATTTAGTGAGCCAACAAATGCGTAGAGAATAAGCATTGAAAAATATTATACAGACATTATTTTTATACAACAATTTTTATATAATATTATATGATAAAATATAATTGAATAAAAATTTAATTTTAATTTTAAATTAATAAATCATATCTTATCTTATATGAAAATTATATATGTGCAGTATTACTCATAAATAAATTCTAGGTGGGCCTCGAAAATTTTAACCCTTTTTAGGACAGGAATAGGGATAGCAAACCATTCCCATGAAGACGGGACCTGTTAAGTGTCAAAAATTGGGAATGGGGTATTTTTCATCCTTGTTTTGACTTTGGACAGGGGGCAAGGATGTTAGTTACGGTCTTTATTTTTTAAATAAAAATCCATTTTTTTAATATTTAAATAAATTACTCCCCATATCAGTTATTTTTCCCATAGATATTGGATAGTGGGACATGTAGAAAGAGGAAACTGCCCGTTTATATAACCTCTAGTCTTTTAATGGGAAAGAAGTCTTCAAAAAACATATGTTGTATTTTCTGTAGAGAAAGAGTCTATAGTCTAACAAGAAAAGTATGTGATATTTCCATCAATTGCAAGGATTAAGGTCTTGAATAGATTAGACAAAGAATTTTAAAATCCTTTCTCACGGTCTTTAGTGTATATGATTTCTTACATATTGAAATCTAATTGCTATGACAGGAGGAATGTGTTAATGGGCTTCAGATTTAGTTTATTAAAATTGATGACAAACTGCTTACATTTGGTATCAGAGCAATATCTATAGTCTAGTTTTTGGTTCCATTAAAAATTTATGTTTGAGATTTCTTTGATTGCCAGTATCAATGATTATGCAAAATTGTTGCTACAATGTGTTTTTCATTCATTAGGTCCGTGATTCTTTCATATTGATTTTTTTGGGGAATTGTTTTGGCAAAACTAATTGGAGGATTAAATTACTTGTGAAATTATGAGAAAAACAGCTATTGAACCGCAAGAAAGGGACTTATAATGACTAAGATATTGCATTTCAAAGTTATGAGTTCGTAATGGGTCGTTTTTTGGTCAAGTATCTTGTTACATACCCGACTGAAGGTTAAAGACGCCACGAAACAACATGTCGTTTTCTTCCTTCGAGGAGAAAACAACGTGCACTTTCATCATAGAAGGGTCTTGAAAAACGACATATCGTTTTCCGATTCATTTGAAAAAAAGAAGGTTCTCGCACTCATTTTAGCTCTTGAACCCACAAGCACAAAGATAAGAGCCTTGCGTTCCACCCCTTAAGCCAGACAGGCCGATTCATTTGAATAGTTATTTTTTACATTTGGGCTTATTGCTTTATTTTTCTTTGGAGTTTACGACCTGTACAAATTTATATAGGATTCTTACGCATAATTAATGTTCTTAGTTTATTACGCATATTTTAGTTTTCCAAAATATAAAGAATTGATAATTGACGTTAAGTTTATTCAATAATTTTGATGTCATATTTAAGTTTACATTTGAGTAATTAAGTAATTGTCACAACATTCTTAATTTGTCTATTGATATTAAGTTGAGTCACATAAAGTCAATGATATCAATAATTGTAATTAATCATGAAAATATAATAATTTAATTCCAAAGGGTAACTGTTATATTTAAGTGTTTAATTAGGTTAGGATAAAATTACTTGAAAAAAAAAAAAAAATGTAATTGCCCACAGGCCTAGAAAATTATTTTAAAGATAAAATGTTAGTCCCATCATAAAGCAATTTAAATCTCTTACGTGTTATAATCTAAGCCCATAGGAAAGATTATAATGACATGTTTTATTTGTTGGATTAATTTACATGGGTAAATATTCCATACTTGGCTTCATTGCAGGTTTAAGTAAGCTTTGTTGTTTATATATTGCAGTTGTTCAAACTTTTTCTATTCCGAATTTTGATTCCTCTCATATTGCTCCTCTAAGTGGTAATAGCTATGCTGACTGGAAGGAGAAAATTCTCTTAGCATTAGGGTGCATGGACTTTGATTTGGCACTAGAGTGGATGAACCACCAAAGCTAGGGATGGGCACGGGCCAGGGGCCCGAAAGCCCAAGGGGATTCCCTGATCCCGGCCCAAAGCCCATTCGGGGAATCCCCGAAAAAGCCCGTTCCCCAAACAATCCCTGAATTCCCTGTTTGGAGGTGTTTTTTTTTTTTTTTTTTTGTATTTTTGTATCCTTAGTTTTATACTTTTATTATTCTTTTCTCCAAATAATTATACCAACAAAAAAAAAAAAAAAATTATATATAATTAACAATTCTATTAGAGTAGGGCGAAACCTAGAAATATACATATTAGTATTTTTTGTTCAAATGCGCACCCTCAAGTCCTCAGCAAGTGTTGGATTAGCCTCTGATTAATGAATATATAATCCAAATATCAAAATGATAATTATAATACATTATACATATGTATAAATATATTATATATTAACGTATAAATTATGATTATTGTATTAAGTAATAAGTATCATATATAATGTCTCTTTAATATATAATATACGTATTATATATGATACATTATACATATTATTATAATAAATTTTAAATAAATACTACCATATATATTATAAAAATTCTAAATAATAGCTATCACAATCACAATAAAAAAAAAAAAAAAAAAAAAAAAAAAAAAAATAACAAAGGCAATTAGGTAATAGATTGAAATAATGATTCAATAAGGGACACAAAAAAAAAAAAAAAAAATTATATTGATTTATTGATTCATTATAATCAATCAAAACAACGAATAATATATTACATATATATTATGTATTAACGTAAGATTATAGATAATAACATATTATGTATAAATTATAATGTACAACATATATATGTTATATACATTATACTTATATAGTATATATCATATATAATATACAATGTATAATGTATAATGTATAATGTTAAATGTATACCATATAAATGTATAATATATAATGTCGAATGTATAACTTTTGTTTCATAGTAATAACATATTATGTATTATATATATATTATACAAATATTTATAATGATTTATTATATTTAATCTAGTTTTATTTATTACCATTTGTATATAGTTTCATAAAATACTTACACAATTATAATTTGTTATTGTATAATGTATAATTGATTTTCAAATATTAAAATTATTATAGGTATATATGATTGATTTTCAATTATTAAAATTAATATATATATATAATATACGGGCCGGGGACGGGGTGGGGCAAAACCTATCCCGGCCCCGGCCCGTCCCCGAATTTCGGGTGCCAATCTTGGGCCCTATCCCGACCCAAAGCCTAAAAAATTAGGGGAAAATCTGCATCGTTCGGGGCAGGTCCCCGCAGGGTCGGGCTTTGTGCCCATCCCTAACCAAAGCCCACAAAATCAAGTACCCAAGTTGAGAAAACATCATATAATCTTTGGGAGATCCGATTGCTTGAGTTTGATTTTTATCAAGTCTCATATTGGGACGAATATTCATGGACCCACTCCTAATTATATTGAAGCGACAAAATATCTCAAAGCTATTCGGATCAGTTTGAGACTTCTAACAAGGCATTAGCGAGCACCCTAATGAGAAAATTGTGTTCCATGAAATTTAATGGTACAAAAGGTGTGCGTGAGCACATCATGCAGATGCGGGACATAACTGTTCGATTGAAATTGTTGTTACATAACTTTGCAGTTCCAAATAGAATACCATTCAAATTAAAGGACAATAATCCATTAGAAATTTCAAAACGATATCCTATATCATCCAAAGTGGGTACTGAAATAATATTTTTGGAAATAGAAGGTACGTAATAACAGTTATGAAGTTCCAATAATAAGCTCGTCGGCAAAGTCAAACAATAAGACCCTATAGCTAATGTAGCCACATGTGCTCCATTTCCAACTTGTAGGTCCACCTCTCCCTTGTCGAGCAATCTACTATGTCTTGTTCCCTGCACATCAGTACAAATGTGAGTACCAAATCCTGTGTCAAAACCCAAGATGTTGAAGGGCAGAAGTTAATCTCAATCATGTACATACCTGAAGTTGAAGCGTTTGACTTCTTCTTGCTTGCGAGGAAAACCTTGCAGTGTTTCCTCTGGCAGCCAAGCTTGCCACAATAGAAGCAGACTATCTTCCCACATTTTCCAACGCCACCCTCAAGCTTAAGAACATCTTGCCTTTGGGTTTGGACTTGGGATAGACCTTGGCCTTTCCCTTACCTTTACCCTTGCCTTTACCGATAGCAACTAATAAAACAGGTTTGGACTTTTCCAAGTCCTGCTTCGTAGTCCTCAGCATATTTAGGAGCTTTGATAGGGACTTCACCATCGTGTTCATATTGAAGTTCATTATGAACGGTGAATGAGAATCAGGTAGTGATTGCAGAATTAAGTCACATTGCAATTCTGCATCAACACCAAAACCCAAAGTCTCAAGCCTCTCTATGTACCCAATCATCTTAAGCACATGAGGACCAATTTGGGCTCCCTTGACCATTCGGCTCCTAAACATTGCTTTTGACACCTCATACCTCTCATGTCGAGCATTCTTTTGATATAGCTCCTTGAGGTGTAGAATTATGGCATGTGCATCCATATTCTGATGCTGCTTTTGTAGCTTAGCTGTCATTAATGCTAGTATAATGCATTGAACATTATCAGCATTATTAAGGAACTTTTGATAAGTGTCCTTAA